TTTTTTTTTTTTTTTTTTTTTTTTTTGAAAAGTGGGAATCTAGCCACAGGAATAAACTTTTTTTGCACAACTACTATTCTAGCTTCTGTAACTCCTCCTGACTAGGGGGCATTAACAGTTACACTAGCTTTGGGCCCAATTTACTACTCTTTGGCAAACCCAACAATGGGTGGAGTAGATTATGAACACATCCTTGAGCTAAAGGGTTTGACGAAGTGGAGTCGGCTTTTGCTCAAAGTGCCATTTCCATAAAGTGCACCTGTCCTATTGGCTTCTTGAAGAGAAATACTGTACTATAAATGCTGCAGGCATTGTACCGAAAGTACACCTGCTCAGTGCAGTGATGTGCTGCTACCCTGACAATGCAGAAGGGAGAGAGGACTGTTTAGAGAAGGTGCAGTTTACCAACAGGACCATAAAACTGGTGTTTGACATTTAATAAAAGAATCTGGCTCTAGCATATGAAGTGGGATACACTTGAGTTAGACTTGTAGAAGTTCATCACACCAAGAGGCTGATGACCTGGATGTTTGTAAACCCTACCACTAGCAATGCTGAGGGAGGATGTGCCATCATTCATATGATTTAAAGGCTTTTTTACATTTTGGCACAGAGCAAGACTTTAAACAATCCATATCCTAACTGTCTACTTCAGGAAGTGTTGTTACACTGCTCAACTTCCCACGCAGGATATGTAAAAACCACATGTAGCAATGCCCCAATGGCCATGAACAAATGTCATGCTGAAAATTTCTTTTAGGCTGGTTCAGAGGAGGTTCTTGAAGGATGTTTTCCCATTTCATACAATACCTTACAAATAAGTGGTTTCATTTGAAGAATACTTTTTATAAAATCTGCTTTCAGCACTCATCTCAATCTGTCTATATGCCTTTCTATGTCCCATAAACAGTCCTATGGTGCAGGAGAGGGGAAGGCAAAAATACTACCATGTATGGTGAGGGTGAAACTGCAAGAGGATTATCCTACTTGTTTTTCCTTCTCACCCCAAAATAGTACTATACTTTAAAAAGGCAATTACAACATAACATCAGCATCCAACATTATGGCACTTAGTCAGTGTTTATATATACATATAAACACATGATAATTTTACAAGGAAGGAATATGAAGGGCTAATTTGTTTGTTAACCTGAACAAAGTAAAATTTTCACCAAAAAGCCCCAAGTGATGTAGCAAACAATATTGCAGATCTGTTTACAGAACAGCAGACAGCCTCCTACAATCTGGCATTTCCAAATCAAACATTTCTTTGAAGACCAGATTCAGCATGTATTTATCTGGACAAACCATTAGAGGATGACTCTTGACCAGTAATACCCATTACATTACAATGCTTAAGCAGTAACAGACTGGACAACGTACGACAAGTGTGTGGTCCGACAGTTTTGGGGGCATTCAAAGGAAACCACATTGTCCTATTACTTTTTAACAAGGTAAGCTGATTGGCCAGGTGGGAAATCCATGCCTTTGCAGTTCACAAGTTTCCCCATGTTTTTATACATATTCAAATATAAAAAAATATGTGGGACTTTTATAAAAATCTCACTCTCATGTTCTAACACGGAGCGAGGAAAATACCTATATTAACTGTGATCCTGGTTTGAACGAGCAGCTAACTATAACATAATCTGCTCCCTCTTGGCATTCAGAGTCCATGTTACTTCAGTACTAAAAATAAAGTTAGCTCCTTTTTCTTCTTAGCCCTATCGGTCTGTCTAGCTCCAGGGAAGCGAGGAAAGGAAAATTCAGTCTCACAAATTCACGTGATTGTTAGCAAAGACCAGATTTCATCCTCATTGAGATGTGGAGCCCTATTACAGACATTAGTATTGCACAGGTGTCTGAGTCCCACAACAGTCACTCTTGGAAATTCCATACGAGTCAAAGCACAGAAGGACGTTCATATCTCTGCGGGATATTTTAGGACAGACTTGTATGTAAAAATGGTTTATATGCAAACTGAATATGTTTTTTTAGTCCAAACGTGAAGCCTTAATCTCTTTTTCATAGATTCGTGTTAAATAGAAAAGTGCTTTGAGAGACTACCAAAAAGAGGTCAATTTTGTCAAGATGGGGGAGGAGCATGGAGGGGACATTTTCAGGTAGCCTAACACAGGAACCTAAATTCCTGTTTTCCAAAGGTGACTTAGCAGCCTACCTGCCATGGATTTTCAATGAGCTCCAAAAGTACCTGCCACCTTTGGAAATAGGGACTTCACATTTTTAAAGACCAAAGGTAAAAAGTTGAGAGTGAAAAAAGTACTAGAATTTGAATGGCGCACACATTAAAGTGGTTGGAGTAGCATATGGTGGGGTGTGGCCCTTCCTGTACAGGTCCTTCTGGATATTGTCCACAGAGTTTGGGAAACTCTTTCATGAGGTGTCTTCTTAGTACACATTTCAATGCAGATGTGGTGTATGGCCAGGCATGACTACCTTAGAAGTAGCCTTCTTTCTCATCTTCCATTAAAAAAAAGAATCACAACTCTTTAGTGAAATGACACCTCTAAAAGATTAAAAAAATACTACTGCAAACAAGATATTGCTTGAAGACGATACTGAGTGAGAATACGTTCTGTGGGAAATTTCAGAATGAGTCACTTATATCAGAGAAAATATAACGGCATGTTTTAAACACTAATGCCCTTTCTAAAAGTAACATCAAATGTAAAAACTAATGGTATATTGACAACTAAAAGAAAGAAGTAACTACTACATTTCATGCTTCCTTCCAAAATAGATAAAGTGACAAAGACCTTGTATAGTTACCATTTAATATAAGCTTGGATGCCCACAACTATAGTTTTAGTAAACTAAGGAAAAATATTATTGCACGACAGTTCATATGGGAACAGGTAATATATAACCTTTGTATTCCATTATCAGGAAGACTATAAAATTTAATTCTACTGTCCAACAGTTACGTTCCTGGAGCTTTCATAGTCCACTGCTCTACTAACAGAGCAAGCTATTCCATGGGATTCCCCCTGCAGACCAAGCTCCAGGATGTACAGAGCGAAGGCGAGATTCTGCCCTCTGATATGTGCATTTGACTTTGATGGAAGTTGTGCGTGCAATATCTGAAAGCAGAATATGGCCACCAGGAATCTCCTATAAAAACTTGTGATACAACATTGGTTTGTTATATTGGCTTGACAGCTATATGCAACATACTATAATCTATAACTAAACTGGCAACACAGGCACAAAAATAAGGCAGTGGGTTAAATTAATCAGTGAAAATTCTGTTAGAAAACATGCAAAAATAATACTGAGCTTTTAAAAAAAGTTTCTTGCCCCCCTTAATTTTCTTGTAAAAATCTGAATAGTTACATGTCTAAATTTTAAATCCAACCTTTATAAAAGCAAGACTAAAAAACCCAACTGGCCTCAGTTGTTGTTCTCTTTGGTTGTGATGGTAACCAGTTGCTTAGCAGCCTTAGCAATGTCATATGCACACTGAATAACTTGCTGAGTGACCAGCTGGATGTCTGCGGTAGGGCAGGGCTCCACAGGAAGGGTTTTTTTGCATTCTGATTGGAGTCTGTAGGCACTGGATGTCAGCAGGCGTAGGGAAGTCCTCACCAGCTCAGATCTGGGTTTCTGTGAAGGAAAAGCAAACAAACCTGAGTAGGCCAGCGACCAAGGATGGTAATTGTTTTGGGGCCACTTGGAAATCAGGCAGACTGTCTGCAAATGCTCTTCAGTACTGTGACAGGATAGCCTGCATTGGTACCTTTCTCCCCTAAGTCTAGAAGGGAAGGGCTCCTGGGGAAGCTAATGGAAGGGGAAGGGAGTTCTTGCTCTCTCGGCTTGGCTGGTCCTAGGTGCTGCCACTTTCATTCTTACTCCCTGAGGCACACTGCATCTTTGCTCTGAGGAGGAAGAGTCCTCTTTCAGATGAAGTCTAGATACAACCTGTCCATTACCCCTGCTCCTCCTGTGAATTGCTGCATCTCTCTGCTGCAAGCAACCATTCTCTTGCATTTTTCCCCAGTGTTGTTACCTTCTTCCTCCACTTATAATTTCTTTAAAAAATTCAGAGTAGCAGACCGGGCTTGAGGGGGGCAGCCACCCTCCAAAAGGCTCATCCACCCTTGTGAGGTATAATGCTCTTTTATAGTACTCCAACAGCAGTGCATCTCCACTGCTTTGCTATCCAAGGATATTGTTTCTGTGGGGCACATTCTGGACAGATTCCCTGCAGATCAATGTCTGACCACTGATCAATGTCAGACCACTGTTAGAATTCACAGAGGCAGACAAGTATGAGCACCCAGAAAGTTGCCTATTACAAGATTCATGAGTAGCTGAGTGATGGATGTGTCTGCAGGAACCCCAAGATGACCGACCAGTCAAGGCACAACTCTGGTACAGCCACATGGCTGTTCAAGCTAGGTGCAAGTGCCCTCAGGCTTTAGGGAACAGCACACCTTTTTTGTTTTTTATTTATTATTTTCAAATGTTCCAGCTCAACCAACTTGTAAGTCCCGATTCATCATCAGCTAACTCCATGCAGCTGGCAAGCTGATACAGCAAAAGGAGTAAGATATGACCAAAAATACCAGTCTTGTTGAAATTACATTTGTCCCACCTATCTTCCTTTGCTTTTTGTTCCCAGCAGAGAGTCTACAGCAATGGAGGAACCACTGTAGTGAAAAGGAGCTAAAGCTACTATGAGCAATAAGGAATTTTAAATTCTTTATAGATTTCTTGAACCAAATCAATGCAAAGATGACTCCTATCCCAGGAGAAACATTTAATTCATTCCACGTATCAGCTTTTTTTTCAAAGGTTCCATTTCCACAAAACGTAGTGATTAGTGAGATTGAGCACAAAAGACATTTGAGAAATATTACCATTGTGGAAGCAATAAAAAATACTTACTTTTGGGAACAAAGCTGCCATTTCTGTTACTGCCACGTGTATTCTTTCTGAGCATGGTATATAGCTGCAAGAAGATGCAACAGATTATTCAGAAGCAATACCTCTCCTACAATTTCCTTTAAATTTTAACTAGTTAGTAGCCACTTCTCCACAAAACAGTTAAAAGAAAGGTGCTTCATCTTTCAACATTTTCTTGGCATAGCCTCCCAATGACAGACCACATCACACAACATGTTCTAGAGATTTATCACTTATTCAAAATGCAATATTAAAGAGTAAGGGTGTGCATGTGTGCGTGGGGTCTTACTGCATTACGCATGTGTAAGTGTGTGTACAATAAATGTTGAGACTATAATTGCAGATACAAAATAAAAATGAGAGATTCTGAAGTATGAGGGGTATTTTAACTGGAAACATCATGAAAAACGCATGACAGTTTGCTGGGTTGACAGCATGTGGATTTAACAAAAGGAACTTTCTATACAAGCCAAGGTGCTAAGAAACCAATTTTTTTTAAGCCAAAAAAAAGTACTTCAGTTACTAAAGATCTATGTAGACTTAGATCTTTGAAACTGCTCCTTTAGAACATTTACACATTTCAGTTTTGAAGCCTTTACATAAAATATTTTGTCAACAGTTTGGGATGGGAAATGAGAAGAGACTAATGAGGCCGTCTTGTCCACACTGACATAGCAGCGCAGTCTGCTTTCCTACACTTGATTTTCCACGGCTAATGCTGAAGTTAAGAATTTCTTCAAAACAGATTAATCATTTAGCTTTATGTGGAACCTGCATTAATGCTCTTCACTCCAAGCTTTGAATTCTCACACACAAGATCAAAAGCCTGGAAACTGGATGGTATATTGAACTGAGCCCAAGAGGATGAGAAGTGACACGTGCAACCTCAGCTCACATGCAGTTTCTAGTTGTTCTTGCCCTTGTCGTATACTTACGTTTGCAATGAGGATGCTAAGCAAGGAAATATTTCAGTTCAGAGAACATTTATTTCTATACCAGTCAGTCCATCATGAACATTAGGGGCTAGAACCTATTCCACATATTAGGCATCTAAGCATGATCCTATTGCATCCTGCTGAAGTCCTTGAAAAATGTTAACACATTTATTATGTGGTGTTCTCTTAGCTTTAAAAGCAAGTCACAAAAAGAAGCAAAAAAGGGGAGGATGACCCATCAACTTTCACACTGACTATATTTCAGGAACTTGAACACGGTGGAAAAAGATTCAAGCCCTAGGTTCACAATGCAATATTATTTACAATTTTTTCATGACATAAGTAAAAAAAATAGCTATTCAAAGAGCTTCTGTGAAACCTATTCTAATAAAGATTGAACACCTTGCTTTTTTTTTTTAATATAGCTTTAAGACAGCAAAACATCATCAGATAAACTGAAAAACAAAACAAAACAAAAACAAAACGGAAAATACCTGACCTGGTGAATTTTGAGACACAGTAAATGCACAATACACAAAATCACCAAGACAGCAGCTTGTAAATGCATGCATCTATCTCAACACTGTTAACATTTACTTTCATAGTGCAGAAGGTATCATCTAAATTTCAATTATTCAACTGAATTACAGTATAAATGTTAACCATTACTCACAATTTTAATAATCCTTTTAGCCACTGTTGTCTCATTAATTATATAAAGAACAAAACATTTAAAATCAATATTTATCTCTGTTCAAAGCTTCTGACTAATAGTTATCTGAAGCCAGAGAAGGAGACTTGACAGAAAGCTAAATTTAAAGCTTTATATACTTTCAAAGACTTTAATTTATTTGGTGATTGATAGGATAATTAATGTAGCATGTGCTTCAAGCTAGTGCTTTTACATTAGTTGATCAAGCAGCATCATTCAAGAGTTTTTTGGGTTTTTTTGCTGTAATCTATATATACTAAATCACTGCCATTTCAGGCTCATATCAGTCAATCATTTTATGCAGTTAACTTGCAATACCAAAACGACATGAGTTACAAGTGCACTGAAAAGGAAAGCAACACACGCAGGGGTCATTTGGGTTATGCAGGAAAGTTGCTACAAAGGGGGACACCTTGGTGTGTGCCACGTTCCTACAAGTTCTTCCATAGAAAGTGAGACTTCTCATCATTACAAGCTTTTTTATCAGAATCTCATTGCAGCAATTCCTGCTCTGTTAGAAAGTAGGATAATGCCAACTCATTCTCTGAGAGCTAGACTGAACAGTAAAGAAACTCAGAAAAGACCAAAATAAAAATTACAGAATTAATTTTCATGTGCAGAGCATAGTAACAGGCCATAGTAGTCATCTAAATGTCAGAAAGCAAAAAATAAGAGATAGGACAGTTAGCTACATATTCCTTAGCTCTTAGGGCTTATTGCATAAATGTTTTCAATAGGTATTTGAGGAATGTCTCTATTGATGTAGGACATTCAGAATTTAAGTACTTGTCACTAGATTTGTAGTTGCTATTTTAAGACAGCTAACCAAGATGTGGAAGGCCCTCTAGGTGATGGGGTAACATAACTAGCTCCCTAAAACCTGTGTAGATTTACGGAAAGACTAGGAAATCCATTTCCAGGTTGCCATACCCAAATTATGCTATTTGGGGGTGGAAGAGTATCTCCTCTATTACAGAAAAGTGCAAGAGACCTTCCAGGTAACTCTTTCTCCCATTTTGGTATTTATGACTGGCCATGATATCTGGAGATAACACCTGGAGAAATTTTACAGCCCATAAACAACGTTTCACTTAAAGCTTTCACATTTCAGTTGCAGTAGACTTAAAGAATGGCTGGTATTTTGGTCAGGTTTGGAAGATACTGGCAGAATCATTAGATACATTTTTAAACCTAAAGTACAGTTTTGGTGGGCATCCATCCAAGACATAAGAACTAGGCTCTTGTTTTAAATTTTAATTATAACTAGCAGCTTAAAGACGTGCAAAATGAGGTGTGTGTACCATTATGGACTACATCAGACCTGTTTAACTTGGGACCAGCTGAGGGCTCCACGGGATGCCTGTGTGCAGGCCCCAGGTCACACACTGCATGGCAAATCTTGTTGGGGGGCAGACCCCTGGGCTCTTCCCAGCTGCACTGACCAATTGTTTATGGGCTGTTATGCTAACTGTTTACCTACATAAATCCTGCTAGTTCTGCACAAATGCACAGTTGCTGGCATCAATAATCACATTCAAATGATCTTGGCAGACACTGATCAGAAAGGAATCTCTGCACCCCAAAACAGCTGCATTCCAAGGCCCCAGTTCTGCTCCTACTACAAGATCCTACTGAATTCAATGGGCAAAGTATTGGACCCATCATCTTTAGTTCCTGTTTTCTTTAAATTCTTTCATGCATAACCTCTAACAAACCCCTGTGTGAATGTGCATGAAAAGGAAAAGGCAGGAGAGAGAAAGAGAAAAGGACACTGTGCCTGGAAGGCAGGGACAGAGGCCAGAGTACCAGGAGGTAGGATCAGGCTGCTGGATGGTCAAAGGCTGCAGGGGCGCTCTCTCAGCCCAAGGAACCAGTGTACTGAAACAGCCAAGGCTGTGTCTGAGCCTGAGCGTACTTGCACGCTCTAATGGTCTGTTTAGTCAGATGAGCACAGGAAAAAGGAACAGAATAGAAAAGAATGAGAAAAGAAAGGAGTTTCATTAAGACAATGCAAGGATATTAACATTTGTGTTCAGCTTATCTATACAGCAAGTCAGTTTTATCCATAGCCTTCCAAACACAAGCGTGTAAGCCATCTTGTTACAGCTCTGACACGCTCAACTCAAGGGCAGTATAGTTGCAATGGGAGTTTTCTAAGCACCTTTGTTCCAACTGAAACAAAGATTAATAAGTTTGTTCCATTATTTTTCTCATGTTGCTTGGCTTCCTCTATTGCAGATGTGTCACTATTTAGTGCACTATAAGGGAAAAAGCCATGCAGTGTGGAAACAGCATTTGCATTTCTGTTCATGAAAGAACTACTCATTTACAGGAAAGGTAAGGTTCACTTATGTACCGGTAAACAATGCATTCCATTTGAAGCAGAGAAAAACAAAGCGTCAGGGGAAGAAAAACATTCTTTATGAAATGTATCTTCATTTAATTTGGCCGGAAGAACTCCCTGTTTCAGGTGCTTTTGTTCTGTCTCAAATATTGTTTCTGGTAAAATACACAAATAACCAAATCCTCTGACCTCATACTTTTCTTTCTGCACCTCCCTTTATATGAACCTGGAGAAGTAAGTGACAAGACATGTTAGTGGAAGTGAGAAAATACACTGACATCTCCACTCAGGATCCCAAAGGAGATAAGTGTGCAACACCCTCCTAGCCAAAGGAAGGTTCAAGGAACAGAAGCAGGCTAGAAGGAAATAAAAGAGGCCTTGAAGAGCATTTGTTTCCCATTTTTGTACAGGTTGGAAGTGAGCTGGCACTCACTTCACTGCTCACTCACTCATATAGGCAGGAAGTGAGCTGCCATGCATTCACTCACTTATATAGCAGTCAGTCTATGAGCTGTGAGATTTAACAAAAGGCTGCTGGTTATCTTTCTAGGTGAAGTGGTGTTTGGTGCTTCAGTTGAGACAGTAACTGTACCCCAATATGGAAGCTGCCAGCAGAAAGGCTCTCCTGGAGCTCAGGATCACCCGCAGCCAACAGAGAATGTGCTCATACACATTAAAACTGTTAGGTCTAGGCTGGCAAAAAGGTACCTTGGAAAAATACTTATTGTTTATGTATCCCAAAGTTTTGCCACTGACAAGTCCTGGACATTTAGCAATGTTTTTGGTCACACTAAGCACAGACAGCATAGGTGCACTGAGGCTGAGCACAAACTGATGTGCAGGCAAACTTGCCATCTGGATCCTTAGCACTGGCATGCTTGAGAAAAGCTCATTTATTTATTTGCTCTAGTCCAATAAAACAGCTTTGGCTACTGCCTTATCTACAGCTTTATAAAACAAGCCAAGGCTGCTGTCTGCATAGCAGGCCAGAGAAAAAGAACAAAATACGTGCAGAGTCAAGTGTAGTGTTGCAGTTTGAGGGCTGAAACCTCTATAGATCTTTTACAGAGGTTAGACTTGGTTACTTTCACATGCTGGACTACAAACACTACTGGGATTGAGCACAAACAGGTAAATCACACTAATCCCAAGATTTCCAGAGAGCTCCCTTGACTTCTACACATTTGGCCAAAGGACTCCCATGGGAACCCTACTCAATGCTCTCCACGCCTTGACTACTACCACCTCTGTGGCATGCAGAATGGGAGGTGATACTGCTCCAAACCAAACCTAAACCTAGTACATTTCTCTGGGGTCCCTATCAGATGTCTAGGAAAGCAGGTCAGTGTTTGTTGGTCCAGATGGAAAGAGCATGCTAGAAAGATGTTCCTCCATGCTGTGTCAACTGCTCCAGTGCTGCCAGCTGTTCCAATCCTCTGGGGCCCAAAAAGGGCTCATTTACACAAAGTCATAGTCTCCAAGTGCAAAGGTATTTCATCATCCCACATTTAACCTTTCAAAAGGCACTTCCACTTGGAGGAGTCAGAGCACTTAGAGGCCTCTCCTTACCTGTCATGCTTATTTTCTTGTGCTGCTCGCAACAGCTCCTGGATGTTCTTAGTGATCTGTTCAGTTTTTCGAATAACATCTTCTGTGCTGGGCAGGGTGGAGCTTGGGGCTGCATCTGTGTCGGTGTTCTCTGGGATAGATCCTTCTCCCTGCCAAATGACACTTCTCTGCCTTCCTTTTCTACCTGACCTAGAAAAGAGAGCATTATAGTTGTCACTGGGCTATCGAACACTGTTAGTGCTTAAGTAAGGCTTTGACACTTCTAACACAATCCAGACACAAAGATAAATGTGTGTGTACTTAAACATACATACCCTGGTTCATCCAGCTCCAGACTGGGGGTGGGGTTATCATAGTCACTTTCAGGCATGCTATTCTGTTTCTCTAATTTTGATGCCTGCAACAAACAAAGATTAATTTAAGTATTGTGAATAAAATTTCAGATCCTTCCCAGGACATGCCAGGTGAACTGGTTTGCTCTCTTCATGATTTCAATCATGTCCTGCATCAATATTTTTGTTGTTTTATATGATGAACCTTTCATAGCCACAACTCACTGTCCTATGCTAGGCTGCAGTCATTCATGCATTTTAAGCAGAGATCTTTGAAACTGGGCGTGTTCGTGTCCCTCACCAATAACCAACTTACATCACATGCGTTTAGAGGATCACGCAGCAGCAGCTATGCAGAAGTTACCCGAGTACTAAAGATTTTCCTCTACCACTGAAAAAAAAAAAAGTTTCCCTAGTTAGGTGTGTCCTCTCCCCAGAGTACATTCTACAGCTCAATGCATTATTGTTCTCCAGCTGTTATAAGCTGAGAAGTTTTGTGGAAGCCTGCGTAGCATAGATTTCTGTGGAGTCTGATGCAGTCCTGCATTCCTACTATTTAGGCACTGGTGTACTTCCCCACTGCCATTTCTCAGAAGCACTGTCCTGATTGCTGTGACATTCAAAAAGGGGCACCACATAATGATCTTGGGATCATGCCTGAAATATGAAGTTCACGCAGTTTTAAGTGACTGAGGCAACGCACTTTTGCAGAAACTCCGAAGAGTGGCATTACCTGACAATTCCCAGGTAGCTGTAAGTTTGATACCTCCCAGTGCAACATAACTGAATCAAGCACAAGGAGGGACCATCACCCAGTGTTGCTTTCAGCCTCGCTCGTTCTAGCATACTCAGTATGCCCCATGTCCCTTAACAGATGGCTAAAGTACCAACTCATTTACTAGTATTTTTCTGACTTCAACTTTTTCTTCCTGCAGATTCTATACCATGTGGACTTCTTCACTTAAGATTATTCATGAAAAAAATACATAGAATTGTATACAAAACAATGGTGTTCTCCCATCTCTGTAACCTAATCAGTCCTTCCTATGCCATTTATACTCAGGGCAAACAATATTGCAGAGATTTTTTCCTAATTATCCTGCAATCAGAATTTCATATCCATATCTAGTTTGAAAAAAGAAGTTAAAAAAATTCCCAGAAACATGAGAGATTGAGGAACATAATGCCAATGCAAGCAAAAACATTATATTCAAGCTCTCTGCCTATCCCAAAACAAGATTTTTATTTTTCTTCTAAGTCAGTCCCAGGGCTCTTTATCAATGAAGCCTGCTCTGATATTATTAATTAAACTTCTCCTAGTGGTGCCCAAGCCAGACTAATCCATGTTAATATATATTTCCTCAGCGGACAAACAATTGCAGCTGTCCAAATTCTGAACATGCGATGGTAATATCACTGTGATTATCTGTCTATTACTGCGGAGTGTAGATCCTGAATCAAGGCAAAACTGATCCCAAAACTGCTCTGAGATTGTACTGCTCGCCTACCAGTGTTCTTCCCACTCCCAGTCAAGTGATGTTCCCACCAATCTTTACTAAAACAGCGAAGTGAGTTCATGGGACTCTTGGCTTCAATAACCATGCACAGCTATTCAGAACGAATTTCCAAAGGTCTGTTCTCCCGGAGCCCAACTGAGAAGTAATAAAGGTGGGTGAGATACTACAATACTTGCTGAAGACGACAGATGCAATGTTAAATACAGGACTGCAATTTCACTGCTATGTCAGACATATGGAAGGGTTGGACTAAGAGGAAGAAAGAGTCTTTAAAGAGAGATCTCCAAAAATAGCTGAATTTTAAATGATCAATGAAAGCTTTTCACCTAAAATTCTCCTCCAAGAGTTCTGCTTTAACACTGAAAAACCAGAGAAAAAAACTAAAACAAACAACCAACCCCTCCACCCAAACCCACAAAGTTTAAACCTCTAACACTCAATACTACAAAGCGGATCCAGATACCCAAAGTTGTAAGAAACTGACCATAAAAGTATAAGAATACTATGAGTGTACAAAGGAGTATCTAGTGATGACTGGTAGATCCACTGAGGACGCTCTTTAAGTGTGGATGGCCAAGCTATGGAAAAGAATCTACAGTTTATTCATGGTTATAACCCAAAGTGGTTCAGCTCTCATTCTGTACACATAAGGCAGCTATTTTTTCAATATGAACAAAAAGCAATGCAAGAGATTAGTTCTTCAAATTATAAACTCATTATGCTAAAATGTGCTTAAGAACCTGTGTATAGCGTGGATCTATTTGTTAGAAGTGATGCTCTTCTGCAGCAACTACAGGAAACACTATTTTGTATTTGGAATAGGTTCAGAGAGACTCTTCTGCATATATACCAATAGGTTTCAGGTTCTTTCGATACACAACTTATAACCATTTCTAAAACCCCACAAAAATGTAAAGTCTAATGGAAGCACTCAGTCATGACCAGTTTAGTCTTTTAGCATGCTGAGGTGACCATCTACCTAATTTGGAGTTCTGTAAAATGGGATTTCATGCTGTAAAAAATTAATTGTGCTAGCTTGAAAGATTGCAATGGACAAGTTAGATGAAGAAAGAGTATATTTGTTTCCCATTTCAATGTTTGCATAAAAAGGTGCAGGGAGCTTCCATGAATCCTACAGACTCCTGGCCTAGAACTAAAGCTGTTAGTTTATGAAAAGCAACAATGCAAACAGAAGCGTCTTTGGGGAACCATATGCTTTATAGTGCTATTAATATTGCCTAGTAATGCATTCACTTTTTAAAGTCAATTTAGGGACTAACAAGGCCCTGGAGACCAAAAGCTTGTTTATTCTCAGGAAGCATCACAATTCAACCCACACCTGAACAGGGTGTACTGCTAAAAGGGAGCTCTGCCTTCACAGTCATTCAATCCGTGTCCTCGTTGTAAAGACAGTCAGCAAGGGTTAGTTAATAATAAATGAACTGATGGGCAAATCACATGTTCTTTGCTAAAACAGGCAAGGAGATCACACTTTATGTCAAACAAACTACTGAACAGCTGCAAGAAAAATCTGTCAGTCATTACCAACCCGGACTGGATGCAAAGTGGCTGCCCCTAGAGAAAACAGGCTTAACAGCATTTTACTAACCCATTGAGCATACCTGTGCCCATGCAATGCATTTTAGTCAGAAAGGAAAAATATGTATTGGCTTATGAAATATCAGTAAATGCCTGCTAAATTACTTTTCATCAGCAACTAGCTCATTTCCTTCTGGTCATTTCCAATAGCATTTTGTGCAAGAAGTGATTTGAAGCAACTTTTGCACAGTGTTAAATGCTACAGGTGTTTTAGTTGATGTGAAGTTAGATAAGAGTGAGGCGAGTCTCCACAGCATGTGAAATAAAAACTGAAGAAGTGATGAAGTGTTGCTCCATGCAGGAATGAAGGGCTAGTTAGCAGAGAGAGGAAAGGACAGAGGCACAAGGCTGCCAGGGAGATTGCCACCTCCTCCAGGTAGAAGACCAATTCGGAAGGTACTTAACCCTTCGTGTGCTTTCATCCCTTGACCAGGAAAGCGTGGAGGGGAAGGAAGGCAGAGATGAAGAGGAGGTCACAAACGCACTCCTCCCGATCTAAAAAGGGGAAAGAGAAAAACACTCGGGAAAACTAAAAAAAACCCAAAAACACAAATACTCTGAAAATAGCTTTAAAACAGAAGCACATTTTCAAGTCAGATAATTAACGAAGTGACTCATGGCAGGAATGATTGAGAAAACGCAACAGAACAGTTGGAGATGTTTCCTCAGAGATCTCTGCACCAATAAAAGGTGGATGCCAGCGAGTGTAATTCATGGTGAAGAGATCACTCTAGATGCATCCAGTTCAATGCTCTCCTTCTAGAGCATCCAATTCTGCCACTGTCAGAGGCAGAATACTGGGCTGGGTGGGCCACTGATCTGACCCAGTCTGGCACTTCTTATGTTCTTATTAACCCCGACTGGACTTTTAATTCCTGCAAAACAATTATTCTTAAGCCAGTTCTGATATTAAAATTACAAGGGTGTTGACCTTCAGAGCGTGAGACTTCACAGAGGAGTGAATATATTATCAAAAAAAAAAAATCCCTCCTCTTCTGCAAAAGCTCTCACTTACTGGTTATACTGCACTAGGGTTGTGTAGAAAGATTTTAAAAGAAAAAAAAAATTCATGCAACCAAATCACACACAAAAAGCTCTGCCTTAAAACTGCCAGTTCTATACCAATTTTGTCACAATTCAGGAGCCCAGGAAGCCCCGTTTTCAATAACTGCTGACCGTGAGCATGTTCTGACACTTGCAGGTACTGCTGCATATCGAAACCATCCACAGCAAGTCACTAGCACCCACAGCTATATAGTTTTTGCCACCTAGTTGAAAATTTCTCAGATGCACTTAACTTATCCAAACAATTGGAAGATTCCCATATTTGTTAACCCGAGTGAAAAACATCCAAGCTTGTGCATTACTGCCTGGGAGGGTTCAGTGTCATCTGACAAAAGTGATACATTTTGCCCAAATACAGACATTTGTGACTACTGCTGGCTAGGGTGGCCATCATAGAGGATGTTCCAGTTTTCTGGTACTCTCTCCTCAATTGATCCAAAACCCAATGCCTTCATATCCTCTATTTTTCTCTTGAAGAGAAAAAGGTGTCAGGTTTCACATCAATAGGGGACAGAGGACAACTGGACTGTCCTCTTTGATGGACACCCTACTGCTGGCAGTGAGCATCTCCCTTTAAATCTATGCCAAGTAGTTTTTTTCAAGCCAGGGAAGAAATTTTAACTTGAAAATATATTTGAAAGATTTAATTGCATAACTGGCAAAAGAACACAGAGAGTACTTTTGTACAAACAAGACTGACAATAAGTGAAAAATGTTAACTCGCACCTAGAAAGAAAATGGTCATATATTCCCCCATATCTATAGCAATCATAAAAGATAATCATAAAGTATACTGGAGGATTGGAGCACTTTGTCTTGTATGTACGTACTACAAACTCTTAAGGGATAGGATCAGTGTCTGTCTTATACAAACCTGACCATGCTACTTAGCCCTTAAAATTTCAGGAAAATTAAAAATCGGGAAGGACTTGTTCCCATAAGAGGCCTAGGTTGCAAACACCAGAGTTGAAAATAAACTCAAAATAAGTTTTCAAAATAAGTGACTATAATAGGCTTCACTGCAGAGAGGTCCATAGAAGTAGACTTGTATCTAAAAGGAAAAAAAAGGCAAGGAGAGTTTTGGGTACCGTTTTTGCTCATAAGCAACATTCAGAATTAACTCCTACTATTTCTGGACTCTAAAAATCTGCACATAAGGACATATCTGTCTCTCTCAAAAACAGAAATTCAGAAACAATACCTACCTTTTAGGAGTGTTGTTCCATTCACTACTGCTTTTAAAACCTTCATTCATGGATATTTTGGCAATACGTTGTGGTTAAAGGAAACAGCTGAGCAGAAGCCAAAAGCTCCAGTTTACATATCAGAGAATTATGCTACAGCTTTAACATTTCAAAACATCAAGCTCCTGCAGACATGTTAATACAGCAAACAGTGACAATTCTTACTGATTAACTTTATTAAGAAGCAGTCCAGGGATTTTGGAAAACACAGAGTTGGAATAGAAAAAGCTGACGATACAGAAGTGCAGAAGCATCACCAATTTTACTTACATGTGGAGGGAAAGGCTGTAGTCTTGTTATGCTCTCTTCTGGGTATGTGACCTCTCCTATGGGGAGGTAGGGTTTCTGACCTGATCCAGTCTCATACATAGACATAGGTCTGCTACCCCGGGCAGATGGTCGTCGCTTTAAAGAAGAATTGTTGGTGGGATCTGTATATTCAGAACCAGTTTGGACCTGATATATATTGGTTGTGGCCTGTCTTCTGAGGTTTGTATTTTCACTCTGTAGTGTTTGAAGCTGAAAAAAATGTTTAGCAGTGGGACTTGGTTTTTCTACAGCCAGCACCAAAAGCAAACCAACTACACAAGTACATGCTTGTCAGCTTGACTAATAAATTCAGTAGCAGAGTTGGATTTAATTTTAATGGAATTTTTAAATTCTGAAATCTACTTTGCCCGGTATAAGCTGCAAAAAAAATGTTTATATTCCAGATCTGGTAGATTTGTAGGCGTCTATTTCAAATCACTTATGCAGCTAGGAGGCAAGTCAAACTGGATCTTAAATTTAGTTGTTGCAGTTAAAAGCATTTGTTTTCCAATGTAGCTATACTTGTTCATAAATTCTGCTCTACCACAAAGGCTGTCTGAACAAAATACAACACAGCATTATTTACAAGCAAAGTGCTTCAGTTTAGCAAACAAACAAATCACTAGAGTAATTTAAAGAGGACTTAAATATAGGTTTGGGAAATTTGCAATTGCCAAAATTACAGCAGACACCAGAGGCAGCCCAAGGAGAACTAGTGCTTGCTTTGCAAAGCAAGAGGACAGTGGAGTTTAGCTTGTGAAAACAGGATATCAGCTACTGCTTTCTAGAAAGCAAACAAGAAGTTATTTTACAGCTTTTAATTGCATACAATCTTTGAGTAACAAATGCAACACTAGTAATAATTCACTGTAGAACTACTCAGTCAGTTTGCTATATTAACACATCATAAAAAACACATTACTATTGAATTATGTACACTTTCTTAAAACAATAGATGGAGCATGTTGTTTCAGACAGCTGATGATCTTTCATCAGGAAACAGTAGTAGGCATGTCCTTGAAACTTGTTTTGCCTCATATGAACCTTCAAGAACATCAGTCTGTGCTGAAAAATTCTAGTCTGCCTGGCACTTCCCAGAATCCCAAATCTTGACATTCTGACTAGCTGGAAGTCAGTTAAGGTGATGTTTTTTCCCCTGATGTTTCTGTCCTGTGACATGTTGATTTGTGTGCTAAGGTTTCAGGATCAGCAAAGAACCATTCTATTCATTGACATTAGCACAATTATTAAAGTTAATTCTGCACAGTATTCTACTATATCTTTTATGTGTGTGGTGGTGATATCATTTCAGCTTGTATCTGTTGTAATATTCTGATCAAACTTTCCACTACTGCCAAGATAAGTTTTCTTTTTGCTTAGGGAGAACTCATCCACAAGTAACATATATTATTAGCAGCTCTGCCTGTGCACTTCCATGAAAAAGGTGCCTTGAAGTGAGAATGATGATCAGAAACATAACATGCTATTAAGTCTAATTCACAGAACATATTTTTTTAGCTTGTATATTTAAATTTACTCTATCCTTTAGAAAAAAATCATATAGATCCATGCCAAGACAGGCAGGCTAGCCTCTCAAATGAGGTTGGGTTCCTTTGTATTGCTCAAGTAAAGCAGATGAGTTGAATTTTGGCCACAAATGGCCAGCAGACAGTTCCCCTAGCAAAGGGGAACTTTCTCTTGATCTAAATTTAATGCAGTTGGGTTCTTGGTCATCCTCTCCTCCCAGAAGAAGAGGTGGGAAGGAGGTTATCATGAAGGGTGAGGTTTTGGCAGGCCTATCTTTCACTAACATAGGGGCCATTAAGGACCCTGCATCTATGACTAACTAGAGCAGGCCCACAACTGTCCTAAGCATCATAGAATCATAGAAGTAGGGTTGGAAGGGACCTTGTAGATCTTCAAGTCCAACCCCCTGCCTGGGCGGGAGAAAAACTGGACTCAAATGAGTCCAGCCAGGTAGGCATCAAGCCTCTTCTTAAAGACCCCCAGGGTAGGAGCCAGCACCACTTCCCTTGGAAGTTGGTTCCAGCTCCTAGCTGCCCTAACTGTGAAGTAGTTCTTATGGATGTCTCATCTAAATCCTCTCCAGTAACATGTGTCCGTTATTCCTTGTTATGCTAGGGGGCACTAGGGGAAACAGTGTCTCCCCCAAACCCTTCTGGTCCCCCCTAGTGAGTTTACAGACAGTCACCAGGTCCCCCCTCAGCCTTCTCTTGTGAAGGCTGAACAGATTTAGGTCCCGCAGTCTTCAATTGTAGGGTCTGCCCTGTTGTCCCCGGATCATGCGGGTGGCCCTCCTCTGGACCCTCTCAATGTTGTCCACATCCCTCCTGAAGTGGGGCGAACAGAACTGGATGCAGTATTCCAGCTGTGGCCTGACCAGCGTCGCATAGAGGGGGAGGATCACCTCCCTGGTTCTACTTGAGATGCACCTGTGGATGCACAATGAGGTCCGGTTAGCCCTGCCAACCGTGACCTCGCATTGTCGGCCCATGTTCATCTTGGAGTCAATAATGACTCCCAGATCCCTTTCTGCCTCCGTGCTCTCAAGAAGGGAGTTTCCCATTCTATAAGCGTGCTGCTGGTTACTACTGCCCAAGTGCAGCACCCTGCACTTGTCAGTATTGAAACGCATCCTGTTTATGTTAGCCCACCCAGCCCACCATTGGGGCCAAAGCCAGTGCAAAGTGACCTTGAGACTGAAGGAGATGTAACTAGATTTTGACAGATCTTGTAACACATCGCGAGGAAGTTCTGTCGTAGGTGAGAACAAAACATTCTTTCTCCTCCTGTTACAGCCTTATCAATGTGCTAAAGTCCAAATATGCCATGGTTACCTATAGTACACAATATCCCTTTTCACACACCTACAAAGCTAGTAAGGAAGTTCAATAATGTGTCTTAGATGCTTCTATATATTGTGGGTTCCAGCATCTCTCTCAAACACATGCACAATTTTTACATGTTATTTATCCAGTTTACTTGACAAAGTCCGTTTTATATCTGCCAAATCAGTCTTAACAAATCCTACCATGGGCACATTAGGACCTCCAAGCAGCAGCAGAACTTTGGAGTCTTGCTCTGCCAGTAAGACACTGGGGAAAACAAGCAAATATTCCTGGCACATGCAGGAAGCTCTCTTAACCAAGTCCACCTCTGGGGGCGGAGGGAAGGGGGCACAGCTGTGCTGGCGATGGCGGGAGCCCTGTGGCGGCAAGCATGGAGGTCCTGTAAGGGTATTTAAGATGCGGGTTTGGCATTCACGAATACGTGAAATCACGAATGCTGAACCCGCAAATAGCAAGGGTTTTCTGTATTCACCAATACCACACCTTTTACTTTACTCTAGATAATGCTATCCCTGAAGGTTGAGAGAAGCAGTTTAAGTTTAGCATGGAGGCAAGATCTTTTTTAAAAAGAATTCATAGAATCATAGAATCACTGAGTGGGAAGGGACCTAGACAGATTGAGTCCGACCACCTGCCATGGGCAGGAAGGAGCACTGGGGGTGGCAGGGGTCATAAGACCCCAGCCAGGTGCCTATCCACTCTGCTCTTGAAGATTTCCAGGGAAGGTGAGAGCATCACCTCTCTGGGAAGCCTATTCCGGGCTCTGGCCACCCTTACAGTGAAGCAGTTCTTTCTAATATCTAACCTAAACCTCTCCTCCCTCAGCTTGTGGCCATTGTTCCTGGTGACTCCAAGGGGGGCCCTGGTGAACAGACTTTCCCCGAGTCCCTGCTGCTGGCCCCTGATAAGGTTGTAGGCAGCCACAAGA